CAATGTCTCATAGTTATAAAAAAGATGGTCCTTAGTGTTGTCTACTGTGCTGATATGTGAACTTTTTTGGGGTGATGTGGTCTGCCCACAACCTTTGTACAAGGTGCAGATGGTAACCTGAGCCAGACTGTCGTAGACCACTACACAACACCACTACATCAAACTAAAAAGCTTCTTTACAGCAAGGGAAAACATCAACAAAATTGAAAGGGCAACCTATTGAATGGGTGAAAATGTTTGCAAACCATACATCTGTTAGGAGCTTAATATCCAAAATATATAAAAAACTCATACAACTTCATAGCAAAAAAAAAAAAATTTAACTAAAAAATGAGTAGAAGATCTAAATAGACATTTTTCCAAAGAAGATACATGATGACCAACAGACCCATAAAAATGATGCTCAGCGTCATCAGGGAAATGCAGATCAAAACCACAATGAGATATAATCTCATACCTATTAGAGCTGCTGTTATACAGACAAGATAACAAGTGCTGGCAAGGATGTGGAGAAAGGGGAACCTTTGTACCTGTTGGTGAGAATGTGAATTGTTGTAGCCATTATGGAAAACAGTATGAAGCTTCCTCAAAAAATTCTGGGTATTTACTCAAAGAAAACAAAAGCACAATCAAAAAGACATGTGCACTCCCATGTTCACAGCAGCATTAATAGCCAAGATATGGAAATAGCTTAACAGTCCATCAATAGATAAATGGAAAAAGAAGATGTGATTTATGTATCTCAACATGTAATACTGATTATATTGATGGTATCGATATTGATAATATATAAATATATAATTTTATCTATATATAATATAACAATATATATTGATTGATATTCTTCAATGTATCAATATATATTCAGCCATAAAAAATAAGGAAATCTTGCCATTTGTGACAACGTGATTGATCCTTGACGGCATTGTGCTAAGCGAAATGTCAGACAAATGCCCTATGATCTCACTTATTTGTAGAATCTTGAAAGAAGGAAGGAAAGAAAAAAAAGCAAGCAAACAATCTTGCTCATAGATCCAGAGAATGGGGGATGCCAGAAGCAGGAGTTGGGAGAAAGGGTAAAGGTTTTTTTTAAAAAAAAAAAAAAAAAACTAAAAGCTATAAAAGGCAATGTAGTATCCTGGATTGGATCCTAGACCAGAAAAGGGGCATTTGTAAAAAAAAAAAAAAAAAAAAAAAAGTAAAATCAGAATCAAGTGGGGGGTTTCATTAATAGTAATGTACAAGGTTGGTTTCTTAGTTTTGACATACATACTATTAGAAAGATGAGAAATATACAGGAAAAATTAATAAACATAGAAACAAATTTTTAAAAATCTTAGAGTGAACTTTCTTTTTTTTTTTTTTTAAATTTTTTTTTAATTTTTATTTATTTATGATAGTCACACAGTGAGAGAGAGAGAGGCAGAGACATAGGCAGAGGGAGAAGCAGGCTCCACGCACCGGGAGCCCGACGTGGGATTCGATCCCGGGTCTCCAGGATCGCGCCCTGGGCCAAAGGCAAGCGCCAAACCGCTGCGCCACCCAGGGATCCTTAGAGTGAACTTTCATGTGTCTACTGTCAATATTATTTTATTCCACCCGCTTTGTCACATAGTATCTGTCTACCACTGTCTCTCTCCACCAGTCTATCTGCAAAGTAAATTGCAGATGTCAGTACCCTTCCTCCTAAATATTTTCAGCATGTACACCACTAACGAGAGTTCAATATGTTTACGGAGCTTTCTTTTTTTTTAAAAAAAAGATTTATTTATTTATGATAGGCAGAGACACAGGCAGGGGGAGAAGCAGGCTCCATGACGGGAGCCCGACATGGGACTCGATCCTGGGACTCCAGGATTGCGCCCTGGGCCAAAGGCAGGCGTTAAACCGCTGAACCACCCAGAGATCCCCCAGAGTTTTCTTTTTTTTTTTTTTTAAAGATTTATTATTTATTTATTTATGATAGACATAGAGGAAGAGAGAGAGAGAGAGAGGCAGAGTGACACAGGCAGAGGGAGAAGCAGGCTCCATGCCAGGAGCCCGACATGGGACTCGATCCCGGGACTCCAGGATTGCGCCCTGGGCCAAAGGCAGGCGCTAAACCGCTGAGCCACCCAGGGATCCCCCAGAGTTTTCTTTTGATGCAGGATTTGCCTACATTTGCTGAGTATTGACAAATCCTTATGCCTGTGTATCCCTAACCCCTACCGAGATGGTAGAGCATTACTACCACCCCAGAACATTACCTAATGCCCCAAACTATTCAGTCCTCACCCTGTCCCTGGGCAACCTGTCCCTAGAAAGGTACTCCTTTTCCAAGATAGATTACTTTGTTCTAGGGATCCCTGGGTGGCGCAGCAGTTTGGCGCCTGCCTTTGGCCCAGGGCGTGATCCTGGAGACCCGGGATCGAATCCCACGTCAGGCTCCCGGTGCATGGAGCCTGCTTCTCCCTCTGCCTGTGTCTCTGCTTCTCTCTCTCTCTCTCTCTCTGTGACTATCATAAATAAATAAAAATTTAAAAAAATTACTTTGTTCTAGAACTTAATATATTGGGAGGCCTGGGTGGCTCAGCGGTTAAGTGTCTGCCTTTGGCTCAGGACATGATCCCAGGTCCCGGGACCAAGTTCTGCATTGGGCTCCCCACAGGGAGTCTGCTTATCCCTCTGCCTGTGTCTCTGCCTCTCTGTGTGTCTCTCATGAATAAATAAAATCTTTAAAAAGCAATAGAACTTAATATAGATGGAGTTATACAGTATGTATTCTTTTGTACGAGGCTCCTTCTATTTAGTATGTTTTGTGACTCATCCACGTTGTTGTGTATATTAGTAGTTCATTGCTTTTCATTTCTGAGTTGTAATCCATTGTATGAATATACAATCTTTTTTTTTTTTTTTTCATCCAGTGTCCTCTTGATGCATCATCACTTTTTCAAGTTTGGGGTGATGAATAAAGCTGCTCTGAACTTCATACAAATCTTTGGGGACATAGGTTTTCATTTCCTTTAGGCTTGGAATTGCTTGGCCCCTGGTTTAAGTGTATGTTTCGTTTTTAGAAGAAACCTCCCGACCTTTTATCAGGGTGGTTGTATCACTTTATGCTCCTATTCACAATGTATGAGAATTCCAGTTGTTTCTTATCTTTACCATTATGTTTGGTAGAGTCAGCCTTTTAAATTTTGGATATTTTGGTAGGTGTGTAATGGCATCTCATTATGGTCCCCCATGAGTTTTTATTCTTCAGTTTGAGGAAAATGAATGGAAGAAGGAGAAGCAAACAATTCTGTTTTGAGATTACATACACTGTATACCTTGTGTTACTTATGTACAAATTCTCCAAATCCTCATCCTCCTTCCACCTTTATATTCCTTCTAGAGAATGCATTGTTTTTATATTCTTCAAATTGATTCTTTTATTCATAGTTACTCACAACCTGTTATTTTCTAAGAGTATCCAATAGTTTAATTACCTAAAATTCCTTGGTGCCTACTACTGCCATTGTATCTGCTGGGTCTGGCTCATGCTGAACTTTCTCCTTTGTGTTTTGTAATTTTGGAACAGGAGCTAATGTTAAGTTAGACTTTACTTGTGGGAATTATATCTGGTCTTTCTTGAGGGTGTTTGTTTGCTTAACCTAAACTTAACTCAGGGATATCATCAGCCTGTAGCCACTTTCTTTTCATTTATTTTTTATTTATTTTTAAAGATTTTATTTATTTATTCATGAGACACAGAGAGAGAGGCAGAGACACAGGCAGAGGGAGAAGCAGGTCCACGCAGGGATCCTGATGCAGGACTCGATCCTGGGACTCCAGGATCACCCTCTGGGCTGAAGGCAGATGCCCAACCACTGAGCCTCCCAGGCGTCCCTACACATTTTCTTTTTAAAAAGTTCTTAGTTTGGGCCGTTTTGGCCATAGGAGAAGTATAAATTCAAAGCCCAAATCTATTTGAAGATGGGCCCAGGTTATGAATTCACTTGGAGGTGCTTTTTATCCCCCACGTCCTATCCAAGACAAGCGATTTCCTCTGCTTGGCAGACTGTTTTTTCCCCGTCCATCCCTTCACTGACAAGTGCCATTTTAAGGGGGGAGTCTCTGTTTCACCCCTCTTTTCTTGCCTTGCCATGATCTCTCCTGTCCCTGGCTGCATTTTAAACCTTGACATTTGGATGTCAAGATTGGCCATCCACATTAGGGCCACTGTCCTAGTTCAGGTGCTATAACAAAATATGGACTGAGGGCTTAAACAGTTGACATAATTTCTCACAGTTACGGAGGCTGGAAGTTCAATATGAAGGTATCGAAAGATTCAGTGCCTGGTGAGGACGGGCTTCCTGGTTTGCAGATGGCTGTCGTCTTCTCGTATCCTCACATAGTGGAGCGAGGGAGAGAGAAAGGGAGCTCTTACAGCTTTTATAAGGAACCTAAGCTCATTCATGAGACTTCTACTTTCATGACCCAACTACCTCCCAAAAACTCTACCTCCTAATACTGTCACTGTGAGGTCAGCTTTAACCAATGAAACTTGGGGTGAACACTTGCAGTCCATAGCAGCCACCAGCGGGGCCAATGCCTGCTCTTTTTTTTTTTTTTTTTAATCCCTGGTATTATTCTCCTTTCTATTGGGCCCACCTATGCATTTGAATGGACATTTGTGGTATGTTATCCCATACACAGAGATCTTTTGGAGCAGGAGGGTTTTACAATTTTTGTAGTCCTCCGTGTTGCCAGAGATGGAAGTTTAAAAGAATAAAACTTGTGGTTTTCTGTAATTCTCAAAAATACGACAAATGGTGTATTTACAAGCTACATCCATCCTCAAAAAGATTAAGGCACACCAAGCACGTGGTGGAACTTTACATGTGTTTTGAATAGTGACTTTCTGCACTGAGATGTCTCCTTGTTTGCGTTTGTGTTTCTGTTGTACAGGGCACAGCTCTGAGGAGGAAAAGGTGGTGCATTTGTGGACATTCTTAGGATTCACAAAGAAACCAACCATGTCCTTGGATGACATTAAGATGAAATCTAGTGACTTTTTGGAGAAGGAGCATCTGGACAGCGGGGGCTTCGGGAAGGTGTCTTTGTGTTTACACAGATCCCACGGACTCGTAATCCTGAAGAAGGTGTACACAGGGCCCAAGCGCACTGAGTGAGTGGGTGGCTGGGGCAGGTTTCGGGCTGGGCCATGGGAAGAACTCCTGGGAGGTGTGGGCAAGCACGGCCCGGGGTTTAGAAGGAGACAGACGGCGGGGTGACAGCGTGCAGACTTTGTCAGATAACGCTGCTAGCTGGTCATCGTTAGCCCTGAACGGCTCCTGAGGATTCTGAGGCTGGTTAGCAGGAAGCTCAGGGCCAGCTGACCATGGAAGAGGAGGGATGGGGGGGATTAGAGAGACTGAAGGAACTGAAGGGGCAGGAGGGAAGCAGTGAGAAGAAAGTGGAGGGGTCCGTGAGAGAGACTTGGGTACTTGCTGCAGAGCTCTGCTGGGGACCGGCCCTACATAGAGGGCAAAAAGAGGTAGCCCATTAATTAGAGGTTCCAGAAGCCCCATGTTGAAAGCAGTCGGTGGACTCGCTAGCAAGAGAGGCCGCGTGGTGTGGGGTGGCGTCTGTGGGGCTGCGTCCCCGGGGGCTTGTCGTTCCTCCCCTGCTCTGAGGTCTCTTGAGTGCTCGCTGCACACCCCCGGGAAGGACCGAGGACCCCTCTGCCCGCCGACGCCAGCACCGGGCCCGGAAGGGGTCAAGACCCTCACGAGCCCGGACAGCAGCGTGGGCTGCAGTGGCCGCGTGTCCCGCGTCCTCAGGCCTCGAGGGACACGGGCCGCCTTCCGTCCCGCAGGTACAACGAGTCCCTCCTGGAGGAGGGCAGGATGATGCACAGGCTGCGGCACAGGCGGGTGGTGAAGCTCCTGGGCGTCATCCTCGAGGAAGGGAACTACTCCCTGGTGATGGAGTACATGGAGAAGGGCAACCTGATGCACGTTCTCAAGGCGGAGGTAAGCGCGCTCCGCGGCCTGCTGTCCCCCGGGGCCTGGCCGCCACCCCCTCCAACCCCTGCCCCCCTGCTGGGGCCGGTCGCAGCTGCCTTTGGTCAGCCCCCCGCATCCTCATCCTCGGCGGCCGGGGACAGCCCGTCTCCCCGGGCCCGTCGGCTGTGAGGCCTCTGCTCCCGGGTCGTGGAAGGACATACCCCAGGTCCCAGTGCGCTCCTGTGATGCTTGCTCTCCGATGCTGCTTGAGCATCTTCCAGCCTAAGTGTTAGTGCATTAGCGGCCAGAAGGCTGGGTAAGGAAGGCTTGAAATAAGGACATAGAAACCGATTCGGAAACCACCCCACCTTAGTAAAGCACCTTTTAGCATCTGTCTAGCTATTAGGGGCGAGACTTTGTGCTGGTTGCTCCGGAGCCCACAGCAAGTATGACACAGACCCGCCCGTGGCACAGATAAAGAGGGAAACTGTGTGGCCTGGTGGCGTTTCCACAGGCATCCCCCCAGCCGTGGGGACACCGAGGACAGGTACGTCCCCCCAGCCATGGGGACACCGAGGACAGGTACGTCCCCCCCAGCCATGGGGACACCGAGGACAGGTGCGTCCCCCCAGCCGTGGGGACACCGAGGACAGGTACATCCCCCCAGCCGTGGCGCCACGGAGGACAGGTACATCCCCCCAGCCGTGGGGATACCGAGGACAGGTACGTCCCCCAGCTGTGGGAACACCGAGGACAGGTACATCCCCCCAGCCGTGGGGACACCGAGGACAGGTACATCCCCCCAGCCGTGGGGATACCGAGGACAGGTACGTCCCCCAGCCGTGGGAACACCGAGGACAGGTACATCCCCCCAGCCGTGGGGACACTGAGGACAGGTACTCACTTCAGTGCGGGGTGGATAAGGAAGGATTCCAGAAGGACGAGGCCTGAGCCAAAGCCTGAAGGATGGGTGCAGTTAGGGAGCACGTGTTCCTGGCGGAAGGACGGCAAAGGACAGAGAATACAGCAAGTTTGGAACACCGCCAAGAACTGGACTTAGCCCGAGCATGGAGGGCGTGTGTGCCTGGTGGGATTGGCTGTCTGCAGGGCAGATACCCCCCTTTCCCCACCTTCTCCCCAGCCCTACAACTGTCCAAGGTTCTGTCCCTTCTTTGATTCCTCAAAGCCCTGGGCAGCTCTCACAGGCACCGGTGAGAAGGCTAAGAGTGTGGCTTATGCACGTTGTGTTGTGGTTGGATGTGATTGCTCTTCTCCCCAAAACCAGGTTAGACCAGCTGCCACTCATAGTAGGTGTTGAGGCATCCTGCCAGACGAGGCAGAGATAAGTGGACTAGTTTGGGCTCCAGAAGAATCGAGGAGGATGTCAGGAAAAAGAGCAGAAAGGAAAATGAGAAGGGGATTTTCTTTGCTTACTCCGAATGTTTTACCAAGTCCAAAGGTGTATACCAAGGAAGGAGGGAAAATCTCCCGCTGTTTTTTGGGTGGTGGCGATCAGGCTGCCAAATCAGCCACATTATGGGTTTTAAATATGGTTTAGAGGGTTGACTTGGGACTCTAACTTCCATCATTTAAATTTTTGTCCGGTTTACCAACAACCAACATACAAGTAAATTTTTAGAGAACAGCCCATTTGTAAAGTAGAGACTGTATGCACGCATGCATGCACACGCGCACACACACACATACAGTTTACGTTTTTCGGTGTTAAGTAAAATTAATGTTTTGGAATTCTTTGTAATAGCATTAATATTTATATAACTAGAATACAATTGTAAGTAAGAGTGACTTCTGAATTTACAAAGACTTGCTGAAGTATCTGATACGAAATTATCAAGCAGCTGTTCACTTCAGCATTGTTTTGTTTTTTGTTTTTCTAGTCAACGTGGTATCAGGTCTCGTTTATGTTTTTGTTTTTTTTTAAGATTTAAATTGTTTGCCAACATATAACACTCAGTGCTTATCCCGTCAAGTGCCCCCCTCAGTGCCCGTCACCCAGTCACCCCCCCCCCGCCCACCTCCCCTTCCACTACCCCCTGTTCGTTTCCCAGAGTTAGGAGTCTCTCGTGGTCTGTCTCCCTCTCTTAATTTTTCCCACTCAGTTCCCCTCCTTTCCCCTATAATCCCTTTCACTATTTTTTCTGTTCCCCAAATGAATGAGACCATAGAATGTTTGTCCTTCTCCAATTGACTTATTTCACTCAGCATAATACCCTCCAGTTCCATCCACGTCGAAGGAACTGGTGGGTATTTGTCGTTTCTAATGGCTGAGGAATATTCCATTGTATACATAAACCACATCTTCTTTATCCATCATCTTTCGATGGACACGGAGGCTCCTTCCACAGTTTGGCTATCATGGACTTTGCTGCTATAAACATTGGGGTGCAGGTGTCTTGACATTTCACTGCATCTGTATCTTTGGGGTAAATCCCCAGCAGTGCCACTGCACTTCAGCATTGTTTTAACATCATGTTACCTCATAGGTTCATCTTAAATGTTTGTAATCAGTGTAATCAGCACATTTCTTTCATATTGTCTTTTCTTGTATGATTTCATACACACGTTTCTGTGACATTGTTCGTCTATTTAATATATAGTAGCATATATTAATGGACTGTAAAAAATACTTGGTTTTTTGTTTATTTCTTTATGCCTTCATTCAACAACAATTCTAGGCACCATGCTAGGTAGTAAGTAAGGATGTATATTATATTCATTGCTATCATCATCGTGTTCTGCTCTCAAAGAGCTTAACTTTATAGCATTTTAACATATTTCCATATTAGCATGGAAGTTTTAGTTTTACAGGACAGAACACAATAGTAATACCCTTAGCACATGGGATGAAATCTTTCTTTAAAAGGAGGCTTCCTTTAAAATGATAGCTGTGCTGCAAAGCATAGTAGAAGGAATCCTGGTGACTACAGATGGTCCCCAACTTATGGTTCGATTTACGACTTTTTCACTTTACAATGGTCAAAAGCCATGGGCATTCAGTGGAAACCATTCTTTGAATCTTGAATTTGGATCTTTTCCTGGGCTAGTGATATACATTATAGTCCTCTCTCATGATACTGGGGCAGCGGCCGCTGAGCGGAACCACAGCTCCTGGCCAGCTGCGTGATCACAAGGTAGACAGCCGACATGCTTGCGACCATTCTGTTACACAGCCATTCTGTTTTTCACTTGCTGTTCACTATCAGTCAGTTACTTGAGATGTTCAACATTTTATTATAAAATAGGCTTTGTGTTAGATGATTTTGCCCAACTAAGGCTAATGTAAGCGTTCTAAGCAGATTAAAGGTAGGCTGGGCTAAGCTATGGCGTTTGGTAGGTTAGGTGTATTAAACACATTTTCGACTCATAATACTGTCAACTTGTGATGTGTTTATTAGGACATAACACAACTCCATTGTATGTCGAGGAGGATCTGGATATCCACAGGTTCAGACCCCACAACCTTGAATAAAACAGTTGCTTTGGCCTGTTTGACTTACCTTTCCATGTCATAGACTTAATGTCCCTTGTTTTAGGTCAGTATCCCCCTTTCTGTAAAAGGAAGGATAATTATGGAGACCATTGAAGGGATGTGCTACCTACATGGAGAAGGCGTAATACACAAGGACCTAAAGCCTGAAAACATCCTTGTCGATGATGACTTTCACATTAAGGTAAATCAGAATCTGAAAGTTTCTAGAAGATTGGGGTGGTTTTGTTTTTTTCTTAAATATTTTGTTTATTTGTGAAAGAGAGAGAGACAAAGATAGCAACAGAGATAGCAGCAAAGAGCATGAGCAAGGAAGAGGAGAAGGAGAAGCAGATTCCCGCCCTGAGCAGGGAGCCTGATGCAGGGTTTAACCTGAGATGGTCCTGGGATCATAACCTGAGCCAAAAGGCAGATGCTTAACCGACTACAGGGGGGTTTTAGTTTTAATTCTCTGCTATAAACCCATTTTTGTATGTGATAAACACTAAAGGAAGACCTCGCTCAGCTTAGAACTGGTGAACGGTGGTGCCAAGGATTCACAAGAAAGATACGGACTCGATGGAGTTCATATTATTTATTTTTTTATTAATGTCATCTATGTTTTTTTATCAGTTTTTTTTTAACTATAATTTATTCCATTGTAGTAAAGGGAACAAGGGGAGGGGATTTTCCTTTTGTTCACCCAAGAGCAGATTTAAGTAGGTGGAACATCACATCTAATTGGTTTTGGCAGCAGGAATCCAAGCACGAGAATCTGAAAGGGGAAGCAGCAATGGTGGGGAGCGCAGGAGTTGCTGACTCAGAGTCCCTCCATTATGAGATTCTGCTTCTAATGCTTCCTTCTAGTCTTGGACAGATTCTTATTCCTATAACTTTAAAAGGAAGTTTCCCTCTTTAACATTAAATCACTTATTTCTTATGTATCTCTTAGGTTAAAATCGGGGGATTTTAGATCACCACATGATCTACCCAAATGCTTGGATTCCTAGAGGCAAAAGTGAAACTGTTACCTCTGATTTCTTCTTAACTGTATTGTTCTATCCTTCCCTGTTCTGTCATTGCCCTGCCACCTCTCTCTTTGTTCTGCGTCTGACCTTTGTATTTTTCTTTTGGTTTCCTTGTTGGTTTTTCTCCTTCTTCCTATCCCATCTTCTCTCAGGTTCAGGCTACCAACTCAAAACAAGTAGCACAGCAGTCTGTATCCTCAGGACTTTGGAGTTCTTAGAATCTCGCATCCATGGGCTTCGGGAAACCATTTGGGAAAACTGAAGGTGCGGTATCTAGTCCCCATGTGCTATACACATCTGCTGAGAAGACCCCTTTTCTTCCTAGCCCCAGAAATAGTTGAAAAAAAGTATGCAGAGTAAATGAGGAATTAGAATAAACACGTTCTGCTGTAGTTCATGTCAGAAATGACTTCTGCTTTTCTCTTCCCCCCCCCCCCTAGCAAATTACATGGTTTTGTTGCATAAGAATTCAAATACCAGAATTTCACATGGACACATCATAGGGACATTTTCCAGATAGCTGAGGAAACAAAGTTTCTATGAACTTGTTCAGAAGTAGCTGTTTTAAATCTATTTAGTGGAAATTTCTGGAAATTCACTATACCTTGCATCTATTAGTTAAGCCCAACATTTAAAGACAAGTCTAATTTGCCTCTGGCTCTCATAGAAGAATCACGTTGATTTGATCTCTTGCAGATAGCTGATCTTGGCGTTGCTTCCTTTAAGACGTGGAGTAAACTGACTAAAGAGGAAATTAATGAGCAGAGGAAATTGAATAGTGTCTCTAAGAAAAATGGTGGAACCCTCTGCTATATGGCCCCAGAGCATCTGAATGACATCAACGCCAAGCCCTCGGAGAAGTCAGATGTGTACAGCTTTGGCATAGTACTTTGGGCGATATTTGCTAATAAGGAGCCATATGAAAGTAAGACATTTATAGAGGAGTGGGATCTGGCTATTAATCAGAACTGCTGAGTAAAATATTGGCCTTCAATGAAGGCAGTTAGGATTTACAACTGTTTGTTGATTTAAGGTCTTTCTTACCCACGAGACCATAAGCTACACGAGGGCTGGGACCATATCTGATTTATTCAGCACTATTTCCCCAGTATCCATCTCACAGTGCCTGGAACACAGTAGGCGTGCAGTACCATTATGTTGAATGCATGAGTAATCTCGGTTTAGGAATCAGGGATCACAGGACACATAGGAGCAATGATGATGTGTCTGTATTTGGGAGGTGCTGTAAAATTCCAGGATTCTTCCTGGACAGGAAAACTTACTTCCTTCTGCTTATGAGGCATATACTTCATACTTTGATTCATTCACTTGCTCTTTCACTTGAGAATTCTTTCTTTTTAGTACTTACTAGGGGTACTTTAATCAGAATTAAGAATAAAAAGATGAGAACAGATACATGGAGATACAAGATACAAGAATAAAAAGATGAGAACAGGGCAGCCCGGGTGGCTCAGCGGTTTAGCACCACCTTTGGCTCAGGGCCTGATCCTGGAGACCTGGGATCAAGTCCCACATGGGGCTCCTTGCGTGGAGCCTGCTTCTCCCTCTGCCTGTCTCTCTCTCTCTCTCTCTCTCTGTCTCTAATGAATGAATAAATCTTTTAAAAAAAATGAGAACAGATACATGTTCATGGAGGAGAATGGATACAAAAGTATATATATATATACTTATATATACACATCTTCAGTTTGTTAAATGTCTAAATTAATGGACATTTTCCATTTCTGTTTTCTTGGGTGATTATCAGCTCCCCCAGTTTAATGATCGATCACCCATTGCCAGGGCCTCTCAAATCTCTTATCTTTATCCCTGGCCTGGATATCCACTTATCTGTTAGATCCATTACACATGCCAGAGGATCCCCAAAGCACCATCCCCCCCAAATAAATTCATCTTCTACATGCGCTCCTTGTAGTCCACTCAGCTTTGCTCATGTTCAGAAAATGGCATCAACATCCACTTACCAGTTGCCCAACCAGAAACTGTAGGCATTCCAGTCTCAGCTTTGTCCATTCAAAACCTATGAATTCAAGGTATATATATGATTCAAGATCCATCTTGAATCCCCCCACTTCTGTCCCCACCAGACTCTCTAGTTCAGACCATCTGTATTTCTACTGAGGGCTGCTCATTTCCCCATTCACCCTGCAGCCAGGCTGGTCATCCTAATAGACAAGTATGACCATCTCATTCATCTATTTGTAATCTTTCCAAGGCTCCCTGGGCCTCCAGGATAGAGTTCAAATTCTTCAGCATGGAATACAAGGCCCTCTCTGGCTTTTCCATCTTTCTCTAGCTTTATTCCTTACCTCTCTTTCTTTAGTCAGTAAGCCCAGTTATAGAGAACTATGCATAATTCCTAGGATACATCACGATTTTGGAGACTTCCAAGCTATTCATATCCTGCCCCCCTATCCTGGAATCCTGCTCTCTGATTCCTCCTTCCTGATTTATCGATAAATCCTTCTAGTTTTTTTTGATGCAGCAAAGCCTTCTCTGACCTTCTCATCATGGTTGTGTTAGCAGAAACCTTTGTACTTAATTTTTGAATAACCGTTACCACTCTATTTTAAGTCCCTCTCAATAAACTGAGTTCCTTACCGGTAAGAGCTGTTCCGTGTTTGCCTTTGTATTAAAGTCTGGAGTCTGCCATTGGTTTTATTTGTATATTCTATTCTACCAGGAGGCCACTTTGTTGTGAATTCTTTCTTTCTTCTGCAGAGGTTAAAATGTCGTTTGATCATCTGGGCAGTAGAATATGTCAGTGCCTTGTCAGAGGTTCCTTCTGCCCCTAACAGATGGGGCGCCCGTCCTAAAAGCATACCCTAGGTAGAGGAGATCAGCAGGACTGTCCAAGTTCTGCTGCCTTCCTGCCTGAGACACACAGGACCTGAGGAAAAAATCAACGTAAATTCCTTGCCTTATAGATGCTATCTGTGAACAGCAGCTGATACTGTGCATTAAATCTGGGAACAGGCCAGATGTGGAGGACATCATTGAGTACTGCCCAGAGGAGATAATCGGCATCATGAAGCAATGCTGGGAGGCAAAACCCGAAATTCGGCCAACATTTGCTGGTAAGAGCATCTTCTGTGACTGTGTACATTGCCAGTGAGGCGATTTTCCTGGTAAGATGTTGTCAGTAAGTTGAAGTGTTCAGAAACCTGAGTTCTACTTGTGATTTCAAATAGACTTTCTAGATTTCAAACATTTTGTTCAATGAAAAGATACCATCCCTCTTAAAAGTGTGAAGTTATATGAGGCCCTCTTCTTTCTTTTTTCTTTCTTCCTTTTTTTTTTTTTCTGCATAATTAACTTTTTAAAAATTGTGTTAAGGGCAGCCCTGGTGGCTCAGCGGTTTAGCGCCACCTTCAGTCCAAGGCATGATCCTGGAGACCCAGGATCAAGTCCCACATCTGGCTCCCTGCATGGAGCCTGCTTCTCTGCCTGTGTCTCTGTCTCTCTTTCTCTCTTTGTGTGTCTCTCATGAATAAATAAAAAAAATCTTTAAAAATAAATAAATAAAAATAAATAAAAATTGTGTTAAAATATGCATAATGCATCAGTTACCATTTTAACCTTATTTAAGTGTACAGTTCAGTGGCATTGAGTACGTTCACAGTGTTGTGCATCCAGCACCACCAGCCATCTCTAAAACCTCTTCATCTTCCCAAACTGAAACTTCGTATCCATTAAAATGCACCAACTCCCCATCCCCCTTCCCCCAGCCCTTGGCAGCCACCCTTCTGACTTTTCATCCCTATGAATTTGTTCTATTATTTCTATCATTACATCAATAGGTACGATTCTAGGCACCTCATGGAGTCATACGGTTTTTGTCTTTTCGTGCCTGGCTTATTTCACTCAGGATAATGTCTAGGGTTGCTCTGTGCTGTGGTGTGTGTCAGAAGTTCCTTTTTTTTTTTTTTTTTTTTTGCAAGATTTTATTCATTTATTCATGACAGAGAGAGAGAGAGGCAGAGACACAGGCAGAGGGAGAGAGAAAGGTGTGTGTGTGTGTGTGTGTGTGTGTGTGTGTGTGTATGCTGCATTTTCTTTATTCATTCATCTGTTGATGGAAACTTTGGTAGCTTCCACTGGTCCTTTTTTGTTTATTAGCATCTTTTATTTCTTCTCCTTCCCCTTGGGTTGCAGACTTCTTTAGAAATGTATATTGTCATTTAGATTAGGCCTGTAGGGCAGCCCTGGTGGCTCAGCGGTTTAGCGCCGCCTTTGGCCCAGGGTGTGATCCTGGAGACCTGGGATCGAGTCCCACGTCGGGCTTCCTGCATGGAGCCTGCTTCTCCCTCTGCTTGTGTCTGTGCCTCTCTCTCTCTCTCTCTCTCTCTCTCTCTCTCTCTCTCTCTCTGTCTCTCATGAATAAATAAATAAAACCTTAAAAAAAAAAATTAGGCCTGTAGTAGAGAGTGAGGAAAGGGGACGTGGATGTTTGTCACATCCTTGCATGTCTTCCCATTCCACTAGGTTACCTAGGACCTTGCTAAGATTCTAGAGGCAGGGGAAAGAAAATCAGGTAAGCAAGAAATAAATAGTAGGAAGTCACTTAGGAGCCTATTTCTGCCATGAGAAAACAGAATAAAGCCCCACCCACCACTAGAACCAAGGATTAGAGGGGTACTTTGATTTAATTGCTTGTTTTCCTATTTTCCTAGTCAGCCTGAATCCTCTCCTGACCTGGTCTCTTTTCTTTCATGCCTTTTTCACTTTTTTAAAATTTAAGTTCCTATTTTGAGATAATCGTAGATGTACCTGTGGTTGTAAGAAAAACAGGGGCACCTGGCTGGCTCAGTCAGTAGAGTATGCAACTCTTGATCTCCGGGGTTGTAAGTTCGAGCCCCAGGCTGGATGTACAGGTTACTAAAAAATCTTTCTAAAAAAAAATAGGGAAAAGAAAAGAAATAACACAGAAATATCCCATATACCTTTTACCTAGTTTACCCCAGTGATAACATCTGGCCAAACTACAGTATAGTTTTACAACTAGGATGTTGACCTTGATACAGTCAGATGCAGGTCATCTCCATCACCAGAAGTGTCCCTTATGTTGCCTTCTTGTACCCACACCCACTTTCCTCCCCAACGCCACCCCCCTCCTTCACCTCTGTTGATCACTAATCTGTTCTCCGTTTCTGTCATTTTTTGTCACTTCACAAATACTACATAAATAGAATCATAGGGACCCCTGGGTGGCTCAGTGGTTGAACGTCTGCCTTTGGCTCAGGGCATGATCCCGGAGTCCTGGGAACGAGTCCCACATCAGGCTCCCCGCATGGAGCCTGCTTCTCCCTCTGTCTGTGTCTCTGCCTCTCTCTCTCTCTGTCTCTCATGAATAAATAAATAAAATCTTTAAAAAAAATAGAATCATAAAATACTTTTTGGGAATGCTTTGGGTTTGACTTTTTGCCATTCAGCATGATTCATCCAGGCTATTGTGTATACCAACGATTTGTTCTTTTTATTGCTGAGTAGTAGTCCATGGTGTGGATGTACCACAGTTTGTTTATTCTTTCCTCAAAAGAAATATGGTTTGTTCTCCATTTTTGGCTATTATAACTAACACTACTGTAAGTATTCATGTGACAGGTTTTTGTGTGAATATGTCTTTATTTCTCTAGAATAAATAACTAGGAGTGAGATAGCTAGGTTATACAGTAGTTTCATGGTTGTTTTTTTGTGGATTTTTTTGCCACTGTTTTCCAGAGTGGTTGTACCATTTTATGTTCTCACTAGCAATGTGAACCACCAGTGATCCAGTTTCTCTGCATCTTTGCTAGCATTTGTGGTGTTGTCACCATGTCATTTTAGCCATTCTGATAGGTAGGTAGTAATACCTCACTGTGGTTTTAATTTGTATTTCTCTAATGACTAATGATATTGAATATATCTTTTTTTATGCTTATTTGCTATCTGTCGATTTTGGTGAAATGTTGCTTTAGGTCTTTTGCCTGTTTTCTAATTAGATTGCTTGGTTTTTTTGCTGTTGAATTTTGAATGTTCTTTATATCGTCTGTGTAGTATTCCTTCATTGGATTTGTGGTTTGCAAATATTTTCTCCAAAACATAGTGGGTTTTTTTTAATCCTCTTAAGCAGCATCTTTCACAGAGTAAAAGTTTTTGATGAATTCTAGATTATGAATTTTTCCTTTTATGGATTGTACTTTTGTTGTCAAGCCTAAGAACACTGCCAGGGTTGGATTTCAAAGATTTTCTATATGTTTTGTTCTAAAATTCTTACAATTTTACATTTAAGTCTATATTAAGTATTTTTTTTCTGTAACTGTCTAGGAAAATTTTTGATTGCTAACCAAAGAACAATAGCACAAAACTAAATATTTGATTCTTTCTTGCGAGTCATTCAGTTTATATTTTGTTGGAAAAATACCACAATCTATTTTGAGTAAATTTTTGTATAAGGTATGTGGCTTAGATTGAAGTTCATATTTTGCCTATGAATATCCACTTGTTCCAGTACCATTTGTTGAAAGTCTGTCTTTCCTCCATTGAATAGCTTTTTCTTCTTTGGCAGAAATCAGTCGGGGATATTTGTATGGGTTTATTTCTGGGTTCTCTATTCTGGTCCATTGAGCTGTGCATCTAGCCCTCTGCCAATACCTACAGTGATATGTCTTACTGAGTAGGCTGATTCCTTCCATTTTTTCCTTTATTTAAAAAATTATTTTAGCTAGTCTCGTTCCTTTGTCTTTCCATATAAAATTTAGAAAAATCTTGTCTATATCTACCAAATAAAAAATCTTACCTGGATTTTGATAGAAATTGTGTAAATCGGTATATCTATTTGGGGAGAATTGAGATCTTTACTATACTGAGTATTCTAATCCATGAACACAATATGTCTCTTCATTTGTTTGTATCTTTGCTTTATCAGTGTTGTATAGTTTTCAGCATACAAGTCCAATGTATTTCTTTTTGAGCAACTGTAAGTAGTTTGTATTTTAAATTTGGTGTCCATTTATTTATTGCTAGAATATGAAATACAGTTGATTTTTTTGTATATTAATCTTGTATCTTATGACCTTATTGAACTCACTTATTAGTTCTAGAAGTATTTTAGGAGATCTTTTTTAGATTTTCATGTCATCTCCAAATAGGGACAGTTTTATTTCTTCCTTTCTGATCTGTATGACATTTATTTCCTTTTCTTACTTTATCACATTGGCTAGAATTTCTAGCATTATCTTAAATAAGAACAGTGAGAACAGACACCCTCACCTTTTCTCAATATTAGGGGAAAGCATTCAGACTTTCACTATGAAGTATGTTAGCTGTAGGTATTTTGTAGATACTCTTTATAACTGAATGAAGTTCACCATACTTACCTTATTTTTCTGAGAGTTTCTCTTGAATGGGCTTTGAATTTTGTCAAATGTTTTTTCTGCAGTGATTGATATGATCATGTGATTTCCCTTCTTTTCACTGTTAATACGGTGAATTGCATTGATTAATTTTTGAATACCAAACTAGCCTTGCATCCCAGGAATAAAATAATAATAAAACCTATTTGGTAATGGTGTATAATTCTTTTTATATATCGTTAAATTCCATTTGCTAATATTTTGTTAAGACTTTTGCAAGTATATTCACTAGGATATTGGTCTATAGCTTTTTGCTTTTGTATTATCTGTGTCTGGTTTTGATATCAGGATCAATATTGGCTTCATAAAATAGAGGAGTTTTCCCTCCTATTTTTTGGAGGAGAATGCATGTAATTGATGTTAATTCTTTAAAAGGTTTTTAGAATTCTCTCAAGAAACCATCTTGGCCTGGAAATTTCTTTTTTGGGAGTTTTTAAATTGTGAAATTGATTTCTTTAATATTATAGGAGCTATCAAGATAATCTGTATATCAGAGTAGTCTGTTTTATATCAGAGTAATATATGAAATCGTTTATTCTGGTTGTGGTAGTTTGTATTTTTTGAGGAAATGATGTATTTCATTTAAGTTGTCACATTTATATGTGTAAAGTTGTTTGTAGTACCTCTTATTATTGTTTAGCAGTGTTTGTATTAATGTCCTCTGTTTCATTCCTGATACTGGC